GGTAACAAGCTGCTACCTGATTAAATTTTAGAGAGTATGGACTAAGTAGGAAGAACAGATGACCTCCAAAACCATCTTGACAAAGCAGCAGAGCTCAGTGAAAACAGCACAGGTCAGAGCCAGAAATGAACATTCGCGGCAACTTTGTCAAATTATACCTTCTCCTCTATAAATGGGAATAATAATAACATGGGTCTTGCCAGGTTTTTGAAAGACCTGTTTAAAATATATACACAATAAGATGCCTAGTACATAGCTTTGTTCTACAAAATTTCTTATGAAATTCTGATGTTACAGAGTTAAGTTTTATAAAGCTACCAACATGTGACCTCTGTTTTAACCTGCAAGAGTAGCATTTTCACAACTTAAACTGATTTTAATTAAAACAGGCAAAATTAAATCATAGTCCCAAACATGTCAAAGAACCTAAGGTTTGGATTTAGGGTCTGGTGTTTATAAATCCTTTAGTTTTTAAGGATTTCTTTTGTTTTGTATATTTTTTTAAAAAAAATACCACTATAATGTAGAGGGGAGAATGCTCCATTTTGGTTGTGTGCAGTGTCAAATGATTAGGAAGACCTTTGACCTATGACCCACGGCCTGGGTGAATTGCGGTTCTAGGTGGAATCCCATAACCATGTGGGATTTGTGAACTCATCTCACAAACCAGGAAGGAAGAGGGAGGCGCACGTAAGAATAAAGGAATCATTATACTGTGCAGCATACATTTCATTTCCCAGTCATTTGCCCTGGCAGAGCACATTGCTTGGGAAAATTTAGGCAGTCATGTTAACTGATGCTGTCAACATGAACATATTCTATTCAGGCAACTGAGAACTGGGTAAGCATGAGTTGAGATTTTTGTATACAGGAAAATCTCTGTAAATCGTAGCATAGCTCTAACAATTGTTGGAGCTTTAGTATTTGTACTTCCCCTCCAGCTAAAACTTCAAGGGTCTCTTCTGCATACTTTGAGCTACTACTGAAGTCATGTGGGTCCATCTGAGACATGTGCATAGGTATATTTTAAGTCAATCTATTTCCTAACATAAGTAAGTGTTTGGGACTTTAATTATAATTCATCAAGAAACACTATCTATTTACCTGTCTGTTGATCAAATTTTCTAAATTATGGATAGAGGAAAAATGTGAATGTCAACTGTACTTAGCAGAAATAACAATAATTTACTTATGCAACAAAATTATAGAGTACACATAATAAGCTCTGGTAAATAACGCTTTGGTAAACCAATTGGATATATCAGTTACATTATTATTGTAGAACTTATATTTCTCCCACTGATATTAGAACAAAAAAACCAAAACAATCCTAATACCTTGATCTTTCAAAAACACAAAAATTGTCTACTAATAACTTATGCCTTAAATGCTGGTTTCAACTATAGTTCATTTCCCAACGGAGATATCACTGTTATTGTCACAATTCACTCCTATCTGGAATGATGGATGTGAGTTTGTTTCACAAGAAAAATACTTAGGCACAGGCCTGAAAACTAGGAAGATTTTTCTGCAGCAACAAACCTGAGCAGATTAAGTCTGGAACACTTGGTCAGTTTTTTAAAATTCCCTATAGTTTAAAACAAAAATTAGTAGGAAGCTCTGAAGATCAGCATCAGGGCCAGACCCAAGATCTAGAAGAGGAGAAAAATGTATCAAGAATCTCCCCCCCAAAAAAGTCAGTGCAGCCAGTTGCTAGTCTAGGAACATGGCAGATGGTTATGTCAGGTCACATAATTAGCTGAAAGAGTCAAGGTCCAAAGCACAGGGCAGAGAGCCAGGGATTTAGCTCAGTGGTTCTGCTGCCTGCCTCGTAAGCATAAGAGTCCTGAGTTTGATCCCCAGTACCAAAACAACAAACAAACAAACAAAGCACATTGCAGAATCACACAAACGGGCTCCAATTCCCAAGCAGGCATTGGAAGCCAAGCAGAGATACCAAGTCACAGAACCCAAAAGGCAGTTGAGGAAACAAAGTGTTTTGTATGCTGCCCTTTGAAAAAGGCAACAGATTCCTAACGAAGGGGCTTCTCCAAAGATGAGGTCAGAGCAGAGACACACAGAAACCCACTGAGAGCAGCACTGGCGCTACAAGATCAGGAGATGCTCTGATTCCGCCAGGATATAGTGCAGTGATATCTGACGGTGTAGAGGAGTCAGTGGAAATGAGACACACTGGACTAATGCACACTGGCCATGGACATTTTCTTCCTCCCCTCCACCTTCTTTCAATACAGCAAGAAGAGAACCAGGAATTTGAATTGCTATGCATGGCAAATGTTGATGATATTCTTCTTTAAAGTAATATGTCTTGTATTGCGTTTAGTTAATGGCATTAAGACTTTTAATCCAGTTTTGTCCTCAAGAAAGTAAAGTGTTGGTCCTATTTAGCCCCTCGATTAAACTGAGGAGAGAAGCAGCATGTGAAGGAAAACTGGTTTAGTTGAATAGTTCATAATTTAAAACTATTCCGCAACTGATTTCTATATTCCATTGTGAGCATACTTTCTTTTTGTTGGTCCCATCGTCTGGATGGTTTTCCACCCCTAATAGCATTTTTGGAGAATGAATGAGAGACTGAAAGGAGCCACCAGCCCAGCCTCTTCCTAAGATACTAACAATACACACCTCATGGGTTCAGTCAGTGAGTTCCCAACTTATCAGCAAATGGAACTTCCGACGTTTCCTGCTAGTGATTGCATTAATTTAATTATTTTCTCAGACAGGAAGCTTTTATTCTGATATTATCAAGTTTTTCCTCTACCTAACTCTATATTAGTGTTCACTCCCATGGTTATCTCTTTGTACAATGGAAAACAGTATCAGCCCCTTCGTCTGTTTCCTATTTTTAGACCTGGTTGAGTCAATCTATACAGTCAGATGATTTAAATTTATCTCCTCTTCAATTTTTCCCATTAGTCATTCAAATACATCATTCTCTTAGTCACTTCTGTTGGTCGGTTGGTTTTCAGTTTCATGTTGGTTTGCCTTTAGTATTTCCAAGGGCAGCTGCTCATCTGAGAGGGATCAGCCACTTTAGTCTTAGACTGAAATGGTTTGGCCCGTTCCTTGGAGGTCGACCTAATTTTCATCCTCTTTCATTCCATTTCCCCTTTAGCCTTACATGATTAATTTTGAGTTTCCTCTATACCTTCAAATCTTAGAGAATAGTCCTATGATATGTTCTCATCCCCCAATTTAGCTCTCTGGCTGGCACATTATAGGAACTCAAGATACACTTGATAAATGAATGAGTAAAAACTGGTTTAAACATTTACTGGTAAGGATTATTTCCAAGTATTTTTCTGGATATATAAGATTTTCTTTTTCAAAAATTATATTTAACATTTCTTATTATTTTACTTCAATTTAGATATATTATGAATTAGATTATTAGAGTACAGCCTCATCCTTACAGGCATTTACGTGAATGCCTCTGCATAAAATGTGCTGATCCACATGCTTTAGAGAGATTCTAGCCATAGGATCTATGCCTTGGGAAGTGACTTAAAAAATCACTTAGTGTGATTACAATATTTTATAAACTTTGAATCTGACAGCTAGAAGATAACAAACTTTTCGGTTTCTACCAGTATGAATAAAAAATTTGAACTACGTCTTTTGTTCACACTATTCTATGCTCTTAAATATGGCGCGCCATGTTGTGTGTAACAGCCAATTCTTCCTTATAACCCAAGCACACATTTTTTTCCCCTGAAAATATAGCTGTTGTTTAAATGATCTTACCTTCATCTGTGGTTCAAAATCTGCAATTTGCAAGCTCTCTGGCAACCCACTGATAATTGCTGAGGTTCCCCACATAAACTTTGTAATTCTAGAGAGTCAGAAGTTGATCTCTGAGAGTTTTGAGACTCATTATAGGTGAATAACCAGCATCCATCCGAGGTTCTTGCTGTGTGATCTCTTATTTGCACATGATTTTCCTGCCATTTGGATTCTATGTGGAATTTTGAAATTGGTCACTTGGTGGCGCTGTAGGTAATAGCTTGATTTTCTTATATATATATTTTTTCCCAATTACATGAACTATGTGCATCTTCTAAAATTCTGCTGCAGGTGAAATGATTTAATGGCTCTTGACTTCTGGATCCATTTTAAGTATTAGAAACATTATAAAACAGACTCTTGCTAATAATGATCATTATTGTAATGGCTTGGGGCATAATCATTTACCAACATTAGCCAAGTGATTAAAATCTATCATGAGTTTAATTTGAAAATATTTAGTTCCTTTGCAATAAATGGCTGAGGTTATTAGCCTCATCTCTGCGGGTCCAAAAGTTATCATTATATGGCTTTGTGCTTTCACTACCTGATAGAAATCCACCTTTGTTAACACAAGCCATATAATACCTATTGTTTACCAAGCATGAGAGGGTCCCTGTATTAGTACTGAATTGGACCATATGGTGTACAATGTACTGGCAATCGTCACTTTTTTATGACTGGAGTATCTGATAATTTATTATTTCATAAAGTAATTGACCTTAATGGTTGTTAAGATTAGTTACAGTGGCCAGTCAAACCTGTAGAGAAGGGGAAACATTAATCAATCACTTTTATCAAAACTGGATATGATATTTATACTGATCAGATATTTTTGATGTAATATTTTCATAACTTTGCAATAAGACCTTTTTAAAATATCCCATCTTAATTTAGTGCTAATTCTCCCAAACTATTCTCTCAACTGACAAAAGGAAAAAGAAGATTCACCTCTAAATTTTTTTCCCCAGAAGATCTACATCTAGACTTTAAATTTACTCAGCGTTGTGGCTTGTGTCTAGATGTTCCCCCAAAGTCTCATGCGCTCAATAAGTGGGGATTTTTCAGATGTGGCTGGATCTAGAGATTGTGATGCATGGTGCTGTGTTAGGCTCAAGGGTGCTAGGGTTAAGGGTGTGAGTGCTACCCATCCTAAGTACCCTGGGTAAAACATAAGAGACAGAAAGAGGGCAATGTGCTCTTGTCTCTTGCTTGCTTTTGCTGTCTTCTGCCTGCCATGAACTGTTTGTCTTCTGTGATTCCCCTCTGTCATGCCAACCTGCCTTGGAGCCAGCCGATTGTGGACAGAAATCTCTGCAAACTGTGAGTCAAACAAACCTTTCCTCTCTTAACTTGTGGGTGTTGGGTATTTTGTCTCAGCAAGAAGAAAAGTAACTAAGACACTCATTTTCTTATTATTTCCTTTGATGAATCATAAAAATCTCTTGACCTTAAAGGGCGCTTTGTCCAGCAGTACTGAATGAGGATAATGATCTTACTTCTAAAACTTGTGAAATTTAGAGATGAAGAAAAAACATAATTAAAATAAAAACAAAAACAAAAAATATTTTACAACTGTGAAGGGGGGAACCCTGTATTTTTAAGTGGGTACAATTTTGTTACGGGAAGTTTCCTTCCCAAAAAAGCAACCAAGTAAATAGTTCACACAGAGAGTAGAGAGCAGCCTTCCGTGGAGTCACGGATGGATTATGGGCTTTATGGTTATGTAGGCTCCTTCTTCTCAAAACAGCCCAGTGTTGTATGCCCTCTTTGCAAAGAGCCAAGAGACCCATAGTGGAAAATTAACATGCCTGAGATCGTTCAGGGAGTTGGCAGGTGTGCCATTTAGCCAGAAAATAAATACTTGCTCTCTGATTAGTTTCTCTCAACTGTTTTGAAACTCTAGCTCTTCAGAATGCTAGTCTGTCACTTGGCCAGAAGTTGGGATAGGTAAATTAAAAGTAAATCCCTAAGGAAAAATCAGATAATTTGAAACTCACATATAAAATTTGCTATAATAGTTCATTGAAATAAAAATCACAAAATTTTGGTTAAATTACAAGCATTGGCACTTCCCCTGAGTGAAAGCTACTCATTCATTCAACTATCTGTTTGTTTGTTTGTTTGTTTTTATACCGGGGATTGAACTCAGGTCCTTGTGCTTGCGAGGCAGGCGCTGGAACCACTAAGCTAAATGCCCGGCCTTCATTCAACTATTGATATAAAATCGAGGACCTACCACATACAAAAAGTTGTACAGATAGGATATAGAAAGTTAATCCAGGTGACTTAGCTAATACTCCATAGCACTGCAATTTCTATCCCAAATACTTGTGACATATTTGAATAGCAAGCATTTTGGTTAAGAGTAAAGTCAAGATATGGAATTTAGCACAGGTATTAGAAGTAACACAAGGGAGAAACTAGATGAGGAAAGTGAGATCCCAAAAAGTAAAATTATTTATTCAAGACCTGACAGTCAGACAGTTGCAAAGGGAAGTTAAATATAACCTTTTTGGAGTTGCATCACTGTGTAGCACTGTATTCCAAAGACCTATTGAAAGTCTCCTGTGTAGGTTCAAAATAAGAATTTTAATTCCTCAAACTTATATACACTAATTATAGGCTGAAGCACTCTGTTTTGGTCTGATGGCTGACATAGTAGAATATAATGGTGATTTATATTTGTATTAATGTTCATCACGATATGAACTATTGAGCACAATAATATGTGTCTTAAAAATATGAAAATTATGCTCTCTGGGGTTCATAGGATTTTAATGACTCAGCTGCTTTTACACACTGAAAAAAAATTCCTTTTCAAATAAATGAGAGAGAACATATCCTTCTACACAAATTGGTAGCCATAAATATGTTCTGTGGTTATAGATTTATTATTCCTAGTACGTATTTTAAAGTGTTTTTGGTTGTTCTGCTATTGCTTAGAAGTTCCTTGCTCTAGTTATTTAGCACTTTTCAGCTGTGTAGGTTTACATCACCATGTTTCAAGTTTTGTAAAACTTTTCTTTCCTTCCTAATGTGTTTTATTTGTTTGCTTTGTTTTGTTTTGTTTTTGCACTACCGGGGACTGAACTCAGGACCTTGTGCTTTTGAGGCAGGCGTGGTGCCACTGAGCTAAATCCCCAGCCTCCTAATGTGCTTTAGATAATTAGTTCAATATTTTAAATATTTGAAAACATTAAGATGATTGTTAACATGCTATAAAGACAACGTCCAGCTTCTGCAGAACATGGCAGAAGATCAGGCTATGGAGACAGTGACTGAACTGCTGGTCCATTAAGGCTTGTGTGTAATGGTCTCATCACTTATCTGCTTAATTTCCTGCTAGCCAGACAGGATTACATGAATTTCCTTTATAAGCAACTGTTACACATTTACAACTATGAAGGGACCAACATCAGGACTGTAAGTTAATTGCCCCTCCCACCGAGAAGGAACAATAACTCTTGCCCTGGATTGAAAGTTTAATTGTGGAGAACGTGGCATGTGCCACATTGTGGAAGATATCTTACAGGAATACTAGGGGTTTAAATCATGCATTTTTAAAAAATTCTTTTTCTTTCTTTTTTTCTTCTTCTTCTCTTTCTTTTTGTTTCTTTATTTCACGGACAGGAATTTTGCCAAGAGAATTTTTCTTCTTTAAAAAAATCATAATCAAAATAGAAGAACAAAATAGGATTGTCTTTGTGACCACACAACTTCTCTCTGGTAGAGGAAACCATTACACTAGCAATTGCGTTCATTCATTATTTTTCTTTCAGCAGTTCATTGCTTTTCTTGATCACTTCTCTACATCTCTAGAGAAATTACAATTCAAAAATTGCCTGGGTTTGAACTTTATATAAATGAATTCATATGCTCTCTTTTGTGGCTTGCTTCCTTTGCTCAAAATTATGTGTCCAGGATCATCCATGTTGACATGTGCGGTGCAAGCCACCCTTTGGCACTGCACAATAGCCTTCCATTTAGAGCCAGTGAAATTTGTTTATTCATCTATGATTTACATACATCTGAGTGGTTTCCAGTAAAGCTCCTAACCTCACATGTCTCCAGAAACACATGTGCACCAGCTTTTCCACACTGGATACCTAAGCATGAAGTTGCTGAGCCAAGGAGTATTCTGTCCAAAGTAATTGTACAACTACCCTCCCACAAGTGATGGACTGGAGCTCCATTGCTCGACCTTGCCAAGACTTGATATTTTTCAATGTTTTAAAATTTTAGCCAAACCGAAGAGTAAAACAAAACAAAACAAAAAACCACCGGTATTTCACTGTGGTTTTGATTAGTCTTTGATTTCTAATAAGGTTACTCATTTTATTTTTGCCCACTCTTTTACCCTTCTCCTTTTCTTTGTCCTCCTTTTCAGTGCTGAGGACTAAACTTAGGGCACCATGCTAGGCAAGCACTCTACCACGAAACTGTATCTCTAACCCTGAATGGACACTCTTAATTTCTATGTAGTCAAAATTCTCTACCTGTTCCTTTATAATTTGTATCTTTTCTATCTTGTTTAAGAAATATTTCCTTATCTGGAAGTTTTAAATAAATGTTCTCTCCAAGTTTTTCACATTAATCTCCATCTTTTATCCATCTGGAATTGATTTATGGGTGTGATGTAAGGAAGAGATCTATGTTTTAGTCTATGTGGATATAGCCCTCTCACTTCACTTACAGCTTTGAATTTTTGATACCAAGGAACAATCCACAGGACTATGGATTAAAATAAATCTGATTGATAGGTATCTAGCACTTTCAATGATTTGTTAAACTCTTTTTTAACGGTCTTTGATTCTGCTACATGTCTGGCCTTATTTTTCTCATCATTCCCTCAAGCCATTCACATTCACTCATGCTATTCTCAATGACTGCATTCCCAAAGTTGTCTCTTTTGCTTCTCAACCTCTGTGCAGTCTTTCTACTCTGCTTGCAATGCCTTGTTACCTTCTCCCTCCATCACCTAACTCAAAGGTATCAGCCAGCACTGGCTTAGGTATCATCTCCTCCAAAAAAGAGGGGTGCCATTCTCTGTGACCCCTACTTTAGCCATCGCTTGAGTCTATCTACTGTAACTGCTGTCTGCACGTGTCTTTCCTCAGCTGTACATTAGTGACTTCGTGGCAAGGACTATATTTCGTGGTGTGTGATCGTCCAATGCATACTTGTTAGATAGGTGAATATTAAGATCTGTGTGTTTCTTATCAGGTTTGGGCATCACCATGACGACTGCCACTGGCACAGCGGAGAAGAGCATGGGGTCTTGAAGACCTTGTGTTCCTGGGAGTTTCCTTCTTTCAGTGTTGGTCTCACTCTGAAAGTTGCTGCTCCATATAATGTTTGATACGCTTTGTCAGTTTCTGGTCAAATTACTAAAGAGTCCCCTATCTTTATTCAGGAATTTATAAGGAATTCTTATATTGGGCAATGACTGTGCTTTTAGAAATCTTCCTACCTGTCTGAGGCTGAAACCTGTTTTAGGCAAGGTGCTGAGGATAGAAGTCTTGTTCCTTCATTAGGGAAACATGCACAGGATATGTGTACTCTCTCATGCCTTGTCACTGAGGAAGACAAGAATGTCCTGAGTTTGCATGGTGTGCATTGTAGGATAAATATGAAATAACAATTTTTTCTCATACCAGGTAACAAGGTAGAATTTGAAGCTTCATTCATTGACATTCATGCTTAATGTAACAGCAACACTGCTTTCTGCAGAAGATGCAGCCACAATATTGCCTGTATTTTCAGGGGTGCTAGTGCAGTTTGCTGTTTTCTGTCTCTTACTGACAAGACGCTGTCATTTAAGTGCTTGTCTGTTTCTTATCACTGGTGCGATGCTTTTGTGTACCAGGGTGTTGCAACTTGGACTTTCTTTGCCTCACTGAGCTTGTGATTTGGTGGAAGTGTGTCAGCAATGACATCACCACCATATTTGCTTTGGTGGTTGACATCTTAGGTTATCAATGGAAGCATTGTAAGGAACTACACAGGGTCAAGACCCATTTAGTTCAGAGAGTTTGTACAGTGTGTGGATTGAGAATTCTCAATGGCCATGCTTCACAGCATGTTTAGTAAACCACAAATATGTTCTTGAGTTCAGTGCTGCTAAAGACTCCAATTCATTTGTCCTTGAGGGTGAACGTTGGGAAGGAATTGAAGACAAAAATAAAGATAAATGATGGGATAAATTCTATTTAATGATGTGATAAAACAGGTAAAATTATCTGAGAACTAATTGTTCTCAGTCTTGTCAGGTCACTGACCTTCAAGTATAGCTACTAATATGATAGCAATGAAACAACCCTGAACATTTTGGCATTTGCCTTTGACGCCATGGGATGTATTTGTTTCTTGTGAGGTTCTGCAAGAGTATGATGGATATAAAATGTTCAGACAAGGTTATCTTCAGAACTGAACAGGGGACCACAGTTCTCTGAAACTTCAGACATCTTTTATTCTCAACTTCCTTGAAGAATTGGTCACTCTGTCTCCTTATCTAATCTTTGTTCAGGTATTTTTCTCCTGGTTCAGATTGCTTTCATAAAACACCAGATAGTGACTCTAATTGTTGGTCGATTTGGAGCTATTTAAATATTTACAGTGGAGGCTGATACAAGATTTACCTGCTCTGAAAAAGCTCCTCAAAGTACCTGAATTTTCCAACCTTTAAGATATTTCTTTGGGTTAAATCTCCAAACAGTTGCCATACCGGTTCTCATTAAAACATATTGTAGAAAAAATAAGGCATCAGAACTTTCTCTCTTTCCCCAAACCTATTAATAATCTGCACCTGGGCAGGGGATTTATCTCAATGGTTCTGCCACCTGCCTTGTAAGCACAAAGACCCGAGTTTGATCCCCGGAAAAAAAAAAAAATCTGTACCTATCCAGGTATTGGTTTTGTTTTTGTTCTTATTTTTCTTAGATTTAGTTTGCCTCAATAATAGCCTTGTAATTTATTGGAATTGCTAGTTGCCATTTTAGAGATGAGGAAAGAATGCACAAGCAGCTAAGATAGAGTTCTTTCAATGCTTAGAAATTTGTTTCACTTCTCAGCAGGGGAGCACCAACACTGAAAATGCACACTGCAAGCAAACTGAACTGAACTGAAGATGTGCCCAGGTCAGGAGGCAAAGGAAGAGACTTGCGAGGAAGGAAACCTGGATGGGAACAGAATGACACTGAAGTCAACATACAATAGCTTGGGGAAGAGATTTGAAGAGATCACAATCCTAGGTCAGGTGATGGGACTGGGAGGAGAAGCTAACATCGGCTTCTTCCTGATGTTGCTTCCAGGTTTCTCCAAATTAAAAGTGAAGCCATGTGAACTCTTAGGTCTGTTGGGTGTTGAATATTATGGAAACGTGAGCTGCATCATGTTTTCTGAGAATGCCTTTGTTGGCTCCAATGCAGTGGAAAAACAAATGCTTAAATTCAGAATACAGTTGCTGACTCAACTTTTAGGCTTTCTTCTCAAATTGCAGTTGTCCTTAACTATCTTTCCCTAGCTTGCTCTTACTCAAATATCTGACCAGTTTTGCACATTGCAGTACGCTGTATTCTTTGAGCCTGAATTCAAATGTTGAGTTTGCTGGAACCCTCCCAAGCCTTAACCTGTTTATGGGTTGGATTTATGCTGTTACATAGGTCTTGAAGGCAAGAGCTGTGTAGGAGCAGAAACAGGGTGTTGCCAAATAAAAAGCCTGCTATCTCGCTAGATAACCATTGTAATCTGTTGACCATGGCATGGCTCATGTTTCATTTGAAGGGGTTCTTTTTCCTGAGAGGTAGGAACAATTCTTGTTCCTGGGTACAAGTTATAAACCTTGTTTTTTCCCTCATTGTACATTGGAGTTTTCTTGGAATCTTTATACAAAGGAATTTTATAATTGCCTTGGTTAAATACATATAAGGAAGAAAGAAAACATCTAAGTCTATAATTCTGAAAAGATAAGAAATAGCTACTGAACTAAAAATCTTATTTCATTAAAATAAACACAGTCACAACTTTATCTTAACTCTTTTGAGAAAAGTCACTAACTAAATCCAATGAAGTCTGCAGTTTCTTAGTGTACCCATTTGTCCTTTATAAAGGAATTTTAAATGTTTTGGATGGTCTGTTTGCTCTCTACTTACAAATCAACTATGTTTCCCCTTCTGCAGAAACACGCTAACACTGTGGTAAACTCATTCTGTGGGAGAGGCAGCAAGTCCAAATGAGATATTTCCAACTGAAAAAATGCATGTCAAACTTGATTCCTTCAAAGGAGGAAGTTACAACTGATGCACAGAAATTTCTGAAGTTTAATAAATATGTATCATTTAAAATACCAATCAGCTTTATGATTCTGGTCCTTATTCTGCCTCTCTGCATATTCATGAACATATTTATCTAGTTTAGTGGGAAATAGGGAAGGAAATAGAAGTGGAAGACCAGGCCCTCACCTAACTTTCTAAAAGCAGACTCATATGTTTTTCTTTAAGTCTAGATATATACGAAGTAATGATTTTAAAAGTTATGATTTAAAAATAAAAAGCACTGTGTGATGCTTCTCTGGTTTAGGTGTTGGAATTTCTGTGTATTGTGTATGTAAGAAAAAGAATTTATGACAGACCATACACGATGATATATTTACTTGTGGGCATGTCAGCCATGAAATTACTGTCATTTATGATTTTGGGGGAGATTGGGGGTTTATGACACTGGTGTGCACTGATATTCTGCGGTCATCCCTATATAACAGAATAGACTTTTCTTGAGAGAATGCAGCCAAACATCACTTCCATAATGACTTTCAGAGGTAGAAGGTGAATCCCAGAAGGATGAGACAGGTAGGATGACTTCTTCATGGGGGTTGACAATGACTTCAACCACACACCTCAGCCTTTGTTCTCTCTCCTGCCACTATTCTGTCTACCGTGATGTTTTCACTCTCTATAACTCTGGTCTCACAGTGTTTATATTCCCAGAGGGATGAAGAATTCAGAGCTCCCTCTATGCCCAGAGCTGCTAATCTTGCTCTGAAGCAAAAGTAATTTATAACTAGACCCTGAGAACAGCATAGAAGTCAGTTATAGAAGAATAATTTAATCTGATCCACCAGTCACAGCACAACCAATCCCTTCTTAAATGATTTGTTTTCTCAGTCAGTAAATCCCTTCAGGGGAATTTGTTGTGTAAGTTTACAATGTTATGCCTCTTTAGTTTTATTAGGACTCCCCTTTCAGGCACCATGAAGTCTCATTATTTTCCAAATTCCAGGATAGAATTTAATAAGTTTACTTTAAGTTTGTTGTTACCCTTTACTCAGAGGTTTCAATTATCTCACCCTTACATTCATATTTTTGTTCTAACCAGTCCCCTGCAAAGTCCCCCGCTCTGAGAGCTAAGCTGACCCCTCTTTAGGTCCTCTTACTCTGCACCAGCTCAGACCACTGCCCCAGCAACAGCTCAGCTAGCCAAGCCGTGGCCATGAGGATAAAACAGAAAATACATGTCACTGGGCCTTCTTGAAAAATATTTATAGGCTTTATACTCAGTGGTGGCTGGTGACAGTATAATGGAAAGGAAATGGGAGGTCAAACACAAGCAAAAGAGAGGAAGAAGGGACTTCAGCAGCTTGGTGTGACAAAATCAAGAGCACAGGTATGGAAAGAGTGTGGTCAGGAGGATGGGGTGTGCAGAACAGAAAGACAGAGGCAGAAGTCAAAACCAAGGCAAGTGGGGAGGTGGAGGACCGTGCTGTGCTCATAATGGCCATGAGTGATCGAAGAGAAAAAACACAAACATTTGAAAGTATTCACTTCTCCATGGCGGAGTGCGTTTCATGGAATATTAATGACTGCCAGTCTCTGTTGAGTTCAGATACATTTATCTCCAGAATATAACAAAGAACTTCGGGTATTCATCATGGCGGCCTCTTACTCAAGCTTCCACGGGAACTTTAATGAGAACAAATGAGGATGTACGGGTGTCTGTTTTCACAACTATTGAGGTAGGGACATGAAATGGAATGGGAACAACCAGATTATGCTGCAAAACACCCTCCAGTGATGGATTTGGTACACTGGTTCAGATTATACTAGCTAATGTTTGCTGGGCCATGCAAATCCCTTTACAGAAACCATCTCATTTAGTCCACAGACCCAAGTACAGACCTCCATTCAATAGATCAAGAAGCTGAGGTATAGACCAGTGAAATAATATCATCAAGCTAGAAACTGGAACCAGATTTTCATGAATTTATTAAGGAGAATGTATTTAACTGATTTCTGTCTTAGCCCTAAGAATTGTATGAAGAATGAAGGTACACTCAACAAATGTCTGACAACTTTGTAATCAAATTGGCCATCTATTCCTTGTTTGAAAAATGTTTGGGCTCTTTCTAATTACTTAGTGATCATGTCTCCATTGCACATCATGATCTTAATGAAACCAGTGCATTTGCAGACCCTTCCTGCATGGGGGTACAAGCTATCTTTCAGAAGTCACTGGAGAATTTTATGAAAGCAGAGTGTCATATCTAGTAAGGATCTCTGTATTAAAGGGCAGATTTAGCTCCATAGTAATAGGCCTGATTCTTTGGATCCTTCCTTTTTTAAATATCCCTATATAATCTTCAAAAGACAATTGAAAATTCAGTTCCATTTTTCATCGTCAGACTGTCTCTTTCCTCAGTCTGCCTCAGGAAGCCTTGATGGGCATAGCATTCTCATTGAATACAAGGAGACAATGGACAAATCATTTCAAAACATGCAAAGTAAGATTAAAAGCTGACCACAAACTAAATAAGCCAGAAGAGTTTGCATTGCCTTTGGAAATATCTACTATATCCGCTCTCACTGGAACCTGCATGTAGCACTTGTAGCCTAAAAGATTCTGTGGGTATTCTAAGCCCGTTATGGTAACAGTGTGCTCCATCTTTGCAGAGGTAAAAAAGAGAGGGAATTTTAAAATGTCCAGATGTTTCACCTGTAGCTAACAACATACATGAACACCTCACTCCTTTAGAGTTAAATTTTTGGATCTAAACTATATCAGAATATCTCTATTGCTAGATAAAACTAGTAACACAAATAAAGGCCAATGTCTTTCAGGAAAATCTTAGCCTAAAGTAGATACCAATCTTGTTTTGTTTTCTGGCTCCTGGTGAAATAGGTCACTAAATTACTCAACATCTTATTCGAACTCTGTTCATGTTTGTTAACCCCTCTTTCTATATTTCCCAAGCTCAGTGATTTTGACAGATCACCTTTCTCTAGTCCCCACAACAGCACCGTGACCAAGAAACATTTCCCCCCTTATTTTGCAGATGAAGCAATAGAGGTGTCCATGTCACCACTCAGGGTGTGGGTGAGGTTAGAACCATCGGTGTGAGCCCGTGCTCTCACCGATGCTGTGAGATGACTTTCCCATTTCACGACATGCGTGTAACCACCAGGTTAGATCTCTCAGGCCCAGAAGACACCAGCATCTAGCTAAGATCTGAGGAACCCATTGCCGTGCAGTCAAGAAATGGTCTATATATGCTAGTGGATGCAGAAGGAATACGCAGTTTGTCGCTCTGTCCTGGAACAGGGTCACCCCTTTCTTAGGCTACTTTATTACGAAATCAGAATCAGACTGAACCTAAGAATCTGTGTAGTCCTAGTCCCCCGCAACCCCAGGGCAAAATAGCTGATAAATAGAACAGTTTGGGTGAATTTTTCCTTGGCTTTGAAAACCAATATCGTTTCATAGCAAGAGCACCACATCAAGCCACAGGTGATCAAGGGGTTAATCTTGACAAAGCAGATTTGTTGGGTCACTTTTCATGTCTGCACACAATCCTGCTCAGCATGGTCACAGTATCAAGAGGAATGCATTCATTCAGTCACTAAAGAATCATTGAATGCTTAGCTCAATAGTAATTAATAATATCTCAATAATAATAATCGAGGTCATTCTAGACACCGAGATAGCAAGGATGTAGGAAGTGGTCACTTCCATCCAGACGTTACAGCTTCATAGAGGAAGGGGGGAAAAAGACAGTTCTGGGTGGCGAGGGTGACTGTGGTGGTAGTGTGCAGTGTTCTGTAGCAACATCTGGAAAAAGAGATAAGCCAGGGGGTCGGGCAGTTTCCGGAGGAGATGAGGAAGAAGGACATGAGTCCCGGGAGAAGACCCAGTTACCCAGGTAGAGAGAAGCAGGGGAGAGAGGACAGGAAGAAGGGGAAAAGGCGTTTCAGGAGAAGGGAACGACGCGTAGCCCTGGCTGGGAGAACCGTGAGGAGGCGCTCGTGTGTGGAGCTGCGTGTGTGCGTGAGCCCGGCTCCAGTGCACACACGGGCTGGCAGGTGCGCAGAGGCGCAGGGGTCAGGGGAAGCGGGAAGGATGGAGTCACAGTTGAACCAGGGGCACTGGGTGAGAGCCCTGATTTCTATGAATATCCTGACTCGGCAGCAGTGGGGAACTTGGAGAAAGGTTTAAAGATGGGGTGGCAAGATTAAATCAGCACCTTTAAAAGCTCCTGAACCAGCCATGGTGCTGCATGCCTATAATTCCAGCACCCTGGGAGGCCCGGCAGAAGTTTGAGCCACCCAGCCTGGGCAAATTAGTGAGACCTTGTTTCAAAATAAACAAATAAAATTTAAAAAGGGCTGGGGGTGTAGCTCAGTGTGAAGGCCTGGGCACAATCCTTAGTAACACCCACACATGCACACACATATATTTTTCCAATTAACCTAATCAACCTAAAATCCAGTCAAGGCTTTCTAAAAATTTAGTTTAGGGCTTTCTAAAAATAATAAAATAAAATAAAATAAAGCCTCTCACTTTAATACCCAAGCCCTAAATCTGTTCAAATGTATTTGTCTGGGTTTTATTTCTTCTATTTTCCCAGTTGTATTTGATTTGATTATATCAGAGAAAACTCCTACAGGACGAGCAGTAATTTGCAGTAGGATAAAAAGCTGAAATGCCACGGCAGTTGACTAAATCCTTTGTTTAAGTAAAATACAACAGACCAATTGAAGGCTGTGATGTCTGGGCTCCGATTTTAGAAATAAAACCTTCAAAGTGGGGGAGGGCAGAGCCTCATCTGTTTCTTGTAGATTAAAAGCTCCCTCCTCCTCTTTGGAGGCTGAAAAAGGAGGCATAAAGAAAAGTGCACACTAACCCGGTAATTACAAATCCCTTTTGTTGCTGTATCTGAGAAAGACCATTGTATCAAAGCGAAACAATGCCTCTTCAGAAAGAAAAGGGACTCAGTTACTCTAGAACAAAGTCTG